ATACTTTTTTGTTTGACGTCAACTTTCGCCAGAAATCCCAATGATACAATTTTTCATAACTTTTCAACCCCCCAAATTAACCCTCCGCCGCCCCTGCTCACGCATTTGTTTTTTTTTCGTTTATTAAAAGCCCCATTTTGTTAAATTTGATCGGTCTATTTACAATATTTTAATATTTAAAAATTTAATTTTTCATAAAAATTCTTTCCAAAACATAAATTGATTAATTGAAGATTTATCATAATACATTTTTGTGATGGAAATTGCAAATACAACCAGGTTTCGATTTGCTCGTAATTGTAAAACGTTAAAATATGTGCAAGTGCTTCAAAAACGTAAGGCGTCCCCAAAATGACGGTTTACAAGCATCGCTTTGTTTTCTAGGACGGGAGATTTGTACAGCGCCGCTCGTGACTACCTCTACGTCACGCAAGTCTGGCCCGACCAAAGGCAGGCCTACATAGGCCTCGTGAAAAGCCTAATTGCCCTGAAATGGGCCGACGAGGCACAAAGGTGGTTGGAACATTTCTGCTCGTCCCATTCTGATTACGCAAACAGTCCCCAGGTAGATACAAAGTTAATAATCATTTCTTTTTCCCAACTAATTTTTTGTTCCGATAAATATGAATGTCGATTTAGGTCAGATGTTTACACGAAAGCTTAGAATCCCTGAGAGCCTCGAACCCCCCGAAGGAAAAGGAAAGCGAAAACTCGGAACACAAGGAGAGATTCTTGAGGAAAGTGGACGAGGCCGAGCAAAGACGAAGATTGGACTCCCGGGATTACGAAGTGAGGTTTTTGGGGCATTGTAATACGACAACCGACATTAAGGAGGCCAATTTCTTAGGTAAAAAAAAAACAAATCGTTTCGTCTATTTTGTCTGCACGTAATGGGTAATCGGTTTTTAGGTGAAGATGGCAACTATATCTGTGCGGGATCGGATGAAGGTATCATTTTCATTTGGGAAAGGAAACACGCGTCTATTGTGACGGCTTTAATCGGAGACGTTTCGATAGTCAACTGCATACAACCCCACCCCAGTGCCTGCTTCATAGCTTCGAGCGGAATAGACCCAGCTGTCAAATTATGGTCTCCGATGCCAGAAGTAAGTAAATTTATTTTCCAAAGTGGTTGCATTTGTAAATTTTTTAAAATACATTAATTTATTAATTTGCTAATAAAACATTATAGGTGAGACAGTTTTAGTGTAACGGTGCCGTTTTAAATGAATTTTTGTGATTTTCAGTTCTTACAAAAGTTCATTTATAACATCGGGAAATTCTGACGTTCGTGTTTGAGAAATGTTAATATTGCTTCCTAAATCAGACAAATCGAACTTAGTACTATGCAACTAGTCAGAAAAATCCTATTTAAGTCATTCCCAGGTCTAAATCGGAAAAATCCAGGTGGGAAAAAACGTAATTCTGACTTCTAAGTCAGAAAAATTAATTCTTTTAGGTCAGAAAAATCCAACTTATAATCTTAAGTTCTTTTTGTCACAGAAATCCGTCTTGTAGGTTAAAAAAATCTGATTTACAAGTCAAAGAAATGAAATTCCAAGGGATAAGTCGTTTTATAATAATAATAATTAATAATTCATACATAATTCATTTTATAAGTCAGAGAAGTGTAATATTGAGTGCCGAGTCAGAAAAATCCAACTTATAAGTTGAAAGTTCCAAGTGGGAAAAATACAGGGTGTTTCAAAAAGGTGTTGCCAAACTTGAGGAGCGGAAGAAATTCTTTGTACATAAACCCCTAGTCGGAAATGACCCGTTTTGGCCGTGGAGCAATTTTTGTCCAAAAACGTATCGTTATTACATTGACTGCAAAAGGCTTCCCTATTTAAATAATTTTTGTTAAGGATAACGCAAAAACAGATAAAAAAACGGCTAAAAGTTGTTTTTCTTTTTTCAATGCAAATCCCCTTCTTCAATGACCACCGCCCTTGCAATTTGTGGATGTTTCTACATCTGTTGCCTTTTTCTCTTAACTGACAATGGATTGATGAAAATGTTTGGCAAGGATATCGACAATTCGGAAAGCGCTCAGCTTCTCTAGCCTTGCATCTTGCTTCGCCATAAATAAGATGCATGTCTGCATAGTCTTCAAACATAAATTGGTCCATTTCAACAACTTTGAAGCAAAATTTTGTCGCAAACAAAACAAATGTGAAACACGCAATTAGCTCCCATCATTTATTACGTGATAGCTCTGTTCATTTGTTTCGCTATTCTTCACAGCGTGACACAGATGACATTGCATGGCTAGATTAGATGCGTGCAATAGAGCTTTTATAAAATCAATTTTTACCAACATTGTGTGCAGAATATGCAGTTGGTAAACACTTATCAGAAGAGATAAACGTGTTTATTTTGTTTCAAATCATTTTATTAAAAAAAAAATTACTTAAATATCCAAAGTCTTTTGGTATCAACAAGATAACATTACGTTTTTGGACAATTTCTCCAGGGCTAAAACTGCTCATTTCCGATTAGGGGTTTATATGCAAAAAATTTCTACCTGTATATATCCCCCTCAAGTTTGGCAGCACCTTTTTGAAATGCCCTGTATAATTTTGAATCCTAAGTAATCCATCATATAAGTCCAAGAAATGTAATATCGAGTTCTAAGTGAGGATAACCTAAGTGTGAAAAATTGAAATTCTGAAAGAAAAACCCGACTTACAAGCAGGGACGTATTTCTAAAGTATGTGCCATGGGCGATTATAATCGGCTGCCCCAGTATCTGTTAGTAAATATACAAAATTATTGTACCTGGATTATTATTATTATTTTTTTTAGAATTTGGTTTTGAAAACTTATATCTGGAAAGTCGTTGATTGTGCTTACAATAGTTTTGAATTATAAATCAGAAATATGTCAGTTTGATGATCTAATCTAAAATGTTAATAAAACGACAATTGTCCTACTTGTAACACTTGTAAAGCCGATTTTAGAACTCTGTGTTACATTTTTCTGATGTATGACTAAGATTTTTCTAATTTATAAGTTGGACTTTTCTAACAAACTCTGAATTACATTTTCCTACTATTATCTTAGAACGTTGGGCTAATAAATTGGATTTTAAAACTCCAAATTACATTTTCCCACTTTATAAAACTTCAATTAATTTTTGATAGATTTTTCTGAGTAATAAATTGGATTTTGCTGATTTAGAACTCAGGTTAATATTTTTCCATGCTCGTAACTTGAAATTTCCGACTTGTAAATCGGATTTTAGAACTCTGGATTACATTTTCCCAAACTTGTAATTTCGAATTTCTGACTTGTAAGTTGGATTTTTGTAACTCAAAAATTCCAGCTTGTAAATCAGTCTTGAAATCATATTTTTTACATTTGTAACACTACTGATTTTAAATGTGATTTTAGAACTAATAATTTTTCTCATTTATAAATAAGATTTTTCTAATTTATAAGTTGGATTTTCTTAACTTCAAACTCAAAATTTCATTTTTCCCAGCTGTAACTCAAAACTTCTGACTTGTAAGTTGGATTTTTGTAACTCAAAAATTCCAGCTTGTAAATCAGACTTAAAATCATATTTTTTACATTTGTGACACTGAACTACTGACTTTAAAACTGATTTTGGAAGTAACTCATAATTTTTCTCATTTATAAATCGGATTTTTCAAATTTATAAGTTGGATTTTCTTGACTTCAAACTCGAAATTTTATTTTTCCCAGCTGTAACTTAAAACTTCTGACTTGTAAGTCAGATTTATTTTTTCGCACTTAGAATTTCGAGTTATATTTTACTTGTAACTTGGAGCTTTCGACTTGCAAGTCAAAAAATATATATTTGATACCTTCTGTATTTTACCGCTGTATAGCGTACATACGGGACAAATTCACTAATATTTTCAATAGGATGACAATATAAACACTCGAGTCGTCAAAGACATCAACGCGGTGGTGGAGGCGAACCAGCAGCGCATGTCGATGGACCCCTTCGAGTCCATGCTGGTCAACATGGGGTACAGGATACCCGGCATCAACGTGGAACCCACATTTCAGGAGGTGCCCTCCTGCCGACCCTGTTAACGGTTCCCCTTCCGTTGTGCACAAAGCATTTGTTTTGTTTTAATTTGCGGACTGTTCTCGGATTTTAGCAGTTTTAGAACACCAACCAGAGGAGATTCAGTCCCGTTGGATAAAATGTGACGCTATATTTTTTACAAACATGATTCCCGACTTGTATTTTTATTTTGGTGTTGTATATAATAAAGTGAGTGTTGATTTATCATGGGGATTTTAATTGCATTGTATAGATGATATCGTTTTTATTACTTGTACGCTATATATGCAGCTATATAGTTCTCTTTTTTTTTTTGTAATTGTACATAGTTCCGTCATGAGGTAGTTTTTATTTTAGATAGAATTATTAATTGAACATCTAAGTTATTTATTATCTTTCTTTATACATTTTTATTGTTACATTGTACAAATAAAATTAACTAGTTAATGCTCTTTCTTTTATCTTTTCCTTTCACTTCTAGGTTTTATAAAGGGTGGATTGACTTTCACCTCAAACTTTCAGAAAAAATGGTGCATCAAAAAATACTTGTTAGATATACAGGGTGTAACAAAAATAACGTTATAAAAGTTTCTACAAATATTTTGAAAATGGTAGGAGGGATTAATCCCAAATTTGGTATGAATATGATACTACATACACCTCATAATCTGAAGCCTTCAATGATTAGGAGTGTAATACAGGTGTGGAGATATGGGGAAGCTGGACCCTACTTGATTTTGAAAAAAATATATGCTTTTATTGTACAGTACAGCGATTTTTGAACGGAACTAAAGAATGAAGGCAATTTAGAAATTCACCTAAATTTGTTTAAAGTCAGTGGCATAGAAATAATTAAGAAAAAAGGAAGTCTGCATGGCTTCCCCATATCTCCACTCTTGGATTATAATTTTAATTATTGAAGGCTTCAGGTTACGAGGGGATGTAGTGTAATATTCGTACCAAATTTGGGATTATGTATTCCCTTTTACTGTTTTCAAAATATTTCAAAACAAATTTTTTAAATTTTCAACACTTACCCTTACTAATGTTAAGTATTCTTCTGCAGGCGAAGTTTGTAACATTATTTTTGTTATACCCTGTATATTTGCAGTTTTTTTTGGGGGAAAAAAGCAATTTCCAAAGAAAATTTCAACTTGACACTTGTAACATTTATAAAGAATTAAACGTTTTGACTAATGAACTAATGATATTGTAGGATTAGGAAGTACCAAGTAGACCACTTTGTCAGTAGATGCAAAACATTGCTTGCTTTGTGCTAGTAGGCGTAAAGTACCAGTGACATTTAAAAATGTGACGTATGCTTTATAGCACAAAACATATAATACACTTTATAGGTTATATCTCAAATATACGAGTAGTTTTCAGTAGGTGCCTTAACTTTTTATAATTAAAAACATATTTAATTTGCGCAAATACTTGGTTTGTAACATTTATTGTGAAAAAAAAAACAGCATGTACACAAAATTTACACTTTAAAATACGCTTTCGTGGTGGACATTTATGTCGATAAAATAATCGAAGACAAAAGTGTAAGTGTTCTATATATATATTTTATTTACATCAGGGTTACTTGGACTATTCCTAATATTAAAAAAAAAAACAACCACGATATATAATAAAAATATCGATCACTCCTTGGATAGATTAAAATAACGATGCCGTTTGAATAAATAATTTTTATTAAACATTTATAAACCTTAACATGATAAAATATTAAATAATATGTACACCAACCGTTATTAGAAATACCTAAATTTTTTATTTTCATTCAGGACGGCCAAAAAATATGGCAAATATTAACGAAGTACTAGTGACCATTTTTTATTGCGGAGTTCGCAGAATTAAGGGCGTTAAAAAAAGACGAGAAATAAAAACGTTTCATTTTGAGCAAATTAGTTCTCGATCTTCTTTTAAACTGAAGGCTCGTTGCATTTCATACCATCATCCGTTGATACGCAGAAACTCTTCCCAAATATTAGTTATATCCGTGGATAGTGTTGTAAAATGCTCGACGATTTATTTCTGGAGAATTTTCGTTGAGCACAAAAGAGTAAATGAAAATAAATCGGCATAAACGAGAAAAACACCAGGATTTATGTTTTGCATAGTTGTTTTAAAATTAGAAACGTGAAATATTTTTGAAAATGATGAAAATTCCATTTGATTTTGAATATTGTAAAAATTTTGAAAATGCTCTAAATTTTTCAAAAGCGCTCCCATTTTCTCCAATATTTGTAGGAGCAATTTTAAAAAAGTACCGCTATAGTTCAATCAAATTAGATTTTTATGTGCCAAAATTTATTTCAATAAACAAAGACACGTAAAAATTAAGAAAAATTCCGTAAAATTAAATGAACAACTTTACCCCAGCTGAATGAATGTTAGGCCTTCATTTTCAAAATGGCATCCAAAGTTCGCAAAAAAACTAAACATTTTAGAAAAAAAAGTTTAAAAGTTGTAGAATTTTTTATAACAAAAGTTTTGAGCCCAGCCCGATGTGAATCGAAAAACAAATTGCAAAAAAAAATTACTAAAAAAATTTTTTTTACGAAACTCAGAATATGTAGTCCTTGGAAAGTAGAATAAGTGCATTTTTATAAAATTGCAAAATATTTGATAGTTTTTGCAAAAATTGAGTGTTCGAAAAAGACATTCTTTTTTTAAGTTTCATTAAATCATGCAGTAATGCACTTACGTGACCCATCTTGGGCTTAAAATTTTCTCTAAGAGCTGTACTTTCCTGTGCAATTGTGCACGTATTGCAAAATAATTGGAAGTATGCGAAAAATTTACCGAAACTTTCTCTTCTCTTTTCCAGTCGAAAAATGTAGGTCTTTTTCTTATCGTTGAAATTTAATAAGAATGGCTTTATTGCCATTTGAAAGAGAAAATTTTTTCACAATTTAAAAAAAATCTATAAAATTTTTGTTTTAAAAACTACAATTTTTGTCTAAAACATTTTTTTTTAATTTTTTTACTTTTTTGTACAATTTTTAATAATTGTACATACCAAGAAATTAATAAACATATTTTTTAATCTGATCGTTTGAAATATTTTAAAAATTATTTCGAGTTTTTTATAAAAGGATTTAATTATTATTTTTTACTACTTTATTCTACTTTAGACGAACTACGTAATATTGATTCTCCTGATAGGATATGACAACATTTTGTATCCAAATACATTATTGACACATTGTGCATGTTCGTGCCTTTACAACACTCTCCCCGGACATATTTAACTCTGTTTAGATTAAATCCATACCGTTTTATAGTTTTTTAGAATTTGCACCTACCGCTACCGCCTAATAAAAAAAAAACGTTCATTTTAATTAAGCACTAGAACTTTCCGCTGTAAATCTCCAAACTCTACAGTATATCCACAAGAAAACAAACCTTTTTATACACTTCCTCCGTTAAATATGGCTACCGATATATTTTCTCGTCTGAAGGATAGGCCGCTATGAAGTAGGGCTGCGCCCCGTTCTGGTAGTAAGGGACCCGACCCATCGTAGAATAATTCGAGGGTCTCAGACCCTGAGCGCTGGTCAATTTGTGAGGCAAAGTAGAAGAATATCCCGCGGCGTAAGGAGGCACCGCGTATACCGTAGGCGCCCCCTTTACGCTACAAGCGCAACTGCTTCCACTGCCTACCATCCCGGGAGGCATTACGGGCGGGCTGTTAAATTGGTTACTGGACATTTTCAGTCTGATTATGCAGATGATGATTACCAGAATCGCTATGAACGCCACCACTCCTCCCACTATGCCTATGATGAGAGTGTCGTCGTTGTTCAAGGTAGACTGGCCGGGGGAATTTGTTTTGGATTTTACCTTCTCTGTGGTCGGTACGGACCATATGATGTCGTCAGGTTCGGTCGTTTTCGGTTGGATCCGGTTTCCTCTGGTTTGTATCGACGTGGAAGGTAGCGTGGACGAGGCGGTAGTTATTTTTCTAGTGTCGCAAGTCAGTTCGTCGTCTCCCACCTCTACCAAAAGTTTTCCTGTAGAACATAGTTTATTATGACGTTGCAACTTATGAAATTTTTATGCATTACATCAACGCTTGGTCACCTTCCCATTGTAAGATATCAACGAATAAACCATTTACACTCCCTTACCTGCTAAGTTTTCTGGTCCAGAGCACACCACCGCAGTCATATGCGACGGTAACCACCTCCTCAAAGCTCTAGCACTGCAATCGCAAATTATTGGGTTACTCTCGAGCCCCATGATCTTCAAGTCGCCTCTCCTGTCTTCAAGGGTAGCTAACATCTGGGGACTGATGGTAGTCAGCTGGCTACCGGCAACGTCCAACGTAATCTTAGTAGATCTAGGCACTGGGAAAAACAGAGCAGGCGGCAGCGAAGTTAGAGAAGTGTTTATAAGACGAATAATGACGTCAGGTCCTAAAAATTCACAAAGCTTATTTCAAAATCCGTTTTTAGAAACGATGTTTTACCTTTGAGGCCCGAAAGAGTCCCAGAAGAAATGCTTCGAAGTCTGGAACCCCTTATACCCAGTTCCTTGAGTCTGGGGTGCAGTAAAGACTGAAGTTGGTCGCTCCCGACGGCAGCGTCTTTAGTTTCGATGTTTATTTTTTCTATCAAGGGGATGTTTTGGAGCAAGCCTTGAATATCCAGGTATCCTAGCTTGGGATAGTCGTAAGCCTCGAGTACTGATAGATTAGGTATGGATTTGAAGGCATTTTTTTCTATGAGATTGCATTCGCTTAAAGAGTGCAGGCTTAAGTGTCTAAAATAGGTTTAAAAAATTGTTATATGCAGTGTAACAAGTTTTACTGCCATTAATTGAGCGTAAAATAGATTAAGCATAAATTGACCTAATTATAGGACATATGACTAGTGTGCGACACTTTTATTACAGTGAATAATAATAAAAAATTCAAAAGGAATCAATTATCATGAAAAAGTAATAAATTTGGAAAAATAGGGAGGGAAATAAGGAAAATTGTTTTGCAGTTGTTGCATTTATAGTATTCTGTGCACAAAATGTCGAGGTTCTTAATTAACCGATCTTATGTACCCGGTGATTTTCTATAATGTCCATCCACCTTAACTAGTTTATTTGGGGCAGTAAAATTTTGTAGAAAATATGAGTTTATAGCATTTTTTCCGTACTATTTGCACATGTATTTGAAAATTAATTAAACATATTATTATACAGGATAGATCAAAAAGTATACTTTAATTTTAACCATTTTTTATATAACAAGTCATATAATCAAAGTCAACGGTTTTTGAAATAAAAGCAAATGTAGATTGAAATTTAAAATTTTAAGTTCTTATCTAGTAGCAATGGATAAATCAATAAAAGTGACAGTGACAGTAACTTCATCAAGTAATTCTAAAATATAGACCTAGTCAACTATAAGATCTATATTCTAAAAGTATTACTGCAAATTGTTATTAAAAATGCCATACTCGTAAAGAGAAAAACAAATAATTTTAAGTTCGTTTATTTGAAACAACTATAATGCCGCAGCAACGCAAGGAGATTTAACTCGAGAAAATCCAAGAATCCACGTTCCTTGCAAAAAAAAACAATTAAAAGGATATTCAAAAAATTTCAAGAAACATCAAGTCTGAACAGAAAGAAAAGAGTGGTGCAGGACAACGAAGACGCGGAATTTAATATTTTACTTTCTGTGCAAGAAAATCCAAATATACAGGGTGATTCAGAACTTATCCAAAAAAAAAAAATTCTGGATGTACAGGGGACCCTTACAAATACAATTTTGTAAAGAAAAAATCAAAAAGGGCAGTTCGAAAATAATTTAAAAATACACTTCTGCACGGCACTGGAAACTGGTCCACTGTAAAACCTGGCCTGGCACAATGCGACCGTCATGGCGGTGTGATAAAAACGGACAAAAACTTTCACAAGGAAAGAAATAAATAGAATTTTATAGCACCTATTTTATATCGGCAAATTCAAATGCTTTTGCCTTTATTAATTAATACAATTAATTTGTGTTTTTAAATAATAAAATCATTTGACATACCCCAATTGTTCAAAATTTTATCCACTAACGTGTAAACACATTTGGGTCTGTCTTATTTACTTTCTACGAACTAACACAAATGATGTCTTGCTTCACCATAAATTAAAACGATATCCATCAACTCTGAGTTGCTATACACGCAGACCATTTTTGACACTAACTACTAAAAAGCTGTTGTAAACACCACAGATAACAGGTAAAAACTACCGCAACGACGGATTTCAGTATTAGGTCACATGGCTCTCCACACATATTGCGAATGACGCTAGAGACTACAGTTGTCCAGCTATGAATGTGGTTGAATGTACTATAACTTCAATAATTTTTTTCTCGGAAACTATAAGGATTTAACAAAAATTTTTTTTACGTTATTAACTCCATTTCTCATGCCGCATCTATTCCCAAATTTTTTTGGATAAGTTGTTAATCACCCTGTATAAGGCATATTTAAAAAAGTTTACTAGAATGGAATATGCATGATCTGTCCTATTCAAAATTTCAGAAGACTCTTAAAAAAGCTGGTTACAAGCCTTTCAAGATCATACCTACTCCAAAATTGACACAGACGAAGAGAAAAAAAAAATTAGAATTTTGCCTATCTTATGATGGAAAGAATTAATGACGATTCCAACTTTTTAAGAAACATGATGGCATGATAAATATAAAAAATACCAGGCTTTGGGCTACAGAAAACCCATTCTGCTACAAAGAATTTAGATTTCAAGGGCAACAGTCTGTTAACGTTTACTGCGAACTAAGGGATAACAAAATTATTGGACCCTATTTTTTTCATCAAAACTTGAATGAAAACTTGTATTTAAACTTTCTCGAAAACGACCTAGAAGATTTTCTAGATGCAGCATTTTGGACATGTATTCCAGCAGGACGGAGCCCCATCCCATACCACCCTAAGAGTGAGAACCCGCTTAAACCCACTTTTTAACATGTGGATTGGTAGAAGAAATGCACCAATTAACTGGTCAGCCAACAGTCCAGATCATACTCCAATGGATGCGTTTCTATGGGGATATTTAAAAAATCGCATTTACCAAAATCATATTGAAAATATAGAACGTCTAAATCAATCAATTTTTATTTGCTAATATTTAAAAAGCCGTTGACTTTGAGTATATGACTCGTTACATAAAAAATGCTTAGAATTAATCGAAGAATCAATAAATTAATTCAGATATAAGGTGTCCCATTTAAAAAAAAGTATATTTTTTTATCTACTCTGTATACTATGTTTAATCAATTTTCAAATACCTGTGCAAAAAGTACAGAAAAAATTCTACAAGCCCACATTTTTTACAAAATTTTTCTGCCCCAAATAAACAAGTTAAGATGGATTCATGTCATGTTTTTTTTTTTTTGTTTATTTTAGGGGTTATAGTACGTGTTCCCCTGACTACAAACATGAAATTCTTTTATTTTTAATCAAATAAACAGAATACTTGTGTACGCCGCCATTGTAATCATGCATTACAAATATATGAATTGTAGGCAATCTACAGTGCATGTGAAGGGAGATAGTGTGAGTCAATGGTGACGAAGAGCATTCGTAAACAGTATATCTAACTGTAAATTTGAATGTTTTTCTTCGCTAGAAGCCGTCAACAGACTATTTATTTTTGTGTATTTCATTTATCATTATTGATTATTGCTTCGTTTTTTGCTCGGTTACTTGGCAACTACTGTTTATGTGGCGAAGAAAGTCTTTATGACGGAATTTGAAAAAATAAACTACTGACACGTGTTTTTAAAGGTCAAAGGATGTCTCTGTATAAATATGACCCCTACTCAAAGTTCCATCCTGTATACTAGTTAAGGTTATGGCAGTCAAACTTCTAATAAAACTGTACGTTTTTAACAGCTAGAAAAATAAAATTTTTACCTTAATATTTCCAATCCAACAAAGTCGGCCTGTGAAATGGAAACTATAGGATTTGCGGAGATGTTCAAAGTCTGCAAGTTGTGCAGGAGCTTCCAGATGTTGGAATAATTGGAAATGTCCGGTATTTTGTTATTAGACAAATCGATCTCCTCCAGCAAGGTAACCCTCTCAAAAATATTCTCATTTAACAGCGTTATATTATTAAACGACAAGTTCAGGTGTCTCAAAAACGGCGTCTCTAGATGGGGGACCATTTTTATCCCCGTACCGGCCAAATTTAACTCACGCACGGTTTTGGGTTCTCCGAGAATATTACGCACGGCTTTCTCCGACAGGGGATTGAAAGACAAGTCTAATTTTTTTATGTTCACCATTATGCTGTCGTCCGCCGGTATCTCCCTCAGCTTGTTGCGGGACAAATCTACCGATGACACAAAGAAGTACTGCCTTTGCAGGGACCTTAAGGGAGCAATTTCGAAAAGATTCCTAGCCAAGTTTATGTTCTCTAGCATTTGTAGCCGTACCCTTTCGAAAATAGTCTCGGGAAGGTCTTCCAGGATGTTTCCCTCCAAGTCTAACAATTGTAGTCGTACCAGACCCTCGAAGGTCCTCTCGCCAAGCCTATCCAGTTTGTTATTGGACAGATCCAAGATTTGTAACTGGGTGGAGTTGTGGAAGGCCATTTCGCTGATAGACTCTAACTGGTTATTTGCCATTAGCAGCGTTCTTAGTTTCGGAAGTCTGGCGAAGTCTAGTTCCTCGACGGTTTTCAACTCATTGTTGGACAAGTCGATGTATTCCAAGAACTGTAAGTTGGCTATTAACTCGGCCGGGAAGAAATTGAATTTGTTGTTTGCAGCGAAAATGGATTTTAGTCTCGGATGTATTCTGAACGACGACGGGAATAAATAGCTGAGTTGATTTTCCGAAATATCCAAGGATTCTAGGCTAGTGCCCGTGTTGAAGAATTCGCCTTTAAACGAACTCAGTTGGTTCCCTTTCAGTACCAATTTTTTAATGTTCATTACGTTGACGAACGAGCCAGCTTTAATATTCGTAATGTTGTTGTAAGACAAATCGATCGTGGTAATGTTAGGCATATTGGCGAAACTCGCTTCCGTAATTTCCGTAATGGAGTTGCGCGACAAATAAATCTCCCTAAGAGCGTTTGACTTTGCGAAAAACTCCACAGGAATACTTTTAATACTGCTGTAACTCAGGTCGACGGTTTGCAGGTTAGTAAGTTTGTGTAAAAGCACCCCGGGCACGTTGCTTAAATGCACATTTCTACTTAAATTCAGATTTCGCAACTCGGAAAGTAAACTGAAGGTGTTCCTCGAGAGCTCTGTCAACTGATTATCGCTCAAGTCTAAAATCTCTAAGCTCGTTAGCGTTAAAGGTCCGGCCAAGTTCGAAATACGGTTTTGCGACAAATCTAAACTAATTAGAGTGTTTTCTAAGCCCGTAAATGCATCGGAGCTCAAGGTGCTGATCAAGTTCCTCGATAAATCCAAGGACTCCAACTGCTGGAAGTACTGGAAAGATCCCGATGGCAGTTCTCTGACTATATTCTTGGAAATTATCAGTTTGGTTACTTTGTCTGCCATGGAACGTAAAATGTCTGCCGATAGTGCTGCCACGCGATTATAGTCGAGCTGCAGGGACGTTAACTTTGGCAGCCGACCCAAAGCCGACGCAGGAATGAGGAGGATGTTATTGTCCTTGAGATTTAGGAATTCCAGGTTGTTCAGGCCTTCGAATGCGTCGTCTTCAATCTAAAAATACCAACAGTAATGCACATTAACTTTAATTGTTATTTACGTCAGCATTTAGTGAAGTTGTGGTGTGTTTATGTGTCTTCATTGTTAAATTTGTGTGTGACCTAAGTAAGTTTCTTACCGTTCTCAACGAATTAACGCCTATGTCCAATTTCCGCAACTGCTTCAAACCCAAAAATGTCCCCGGTGCTATATTGGCCAGGTTATTACGGCTGAGATCTAATTGGTACAGATTGCTCAGGGACGCCAAGTTGCTGTTGTCGAGGCTCTAAAATTCACCACGACATCATGATTTCAAAATTATTTGAAAAACTTAATACATACCTGAATTAAGTTCGAGGATAAATTTAGATATTGCAAATTTTCAAAGACTTTCAAGGCGACTGCGGGAAAGTCCGTAATAAAATTTTGCGACAAGTCCAGCTGCACCAGGTTGTCCGCCCCTTGGAAAACGTCACTGTTAAACCTGGACAATCGATTATGGGACAACTTTAAGGTCTTTAATTTATCTAAATTTGAAAATGCATGTCCCTCTATTTGAGAAATCAGATTACTGCCCACGTCTATTTCTTCCAAGTGCTTTTGTGCTTGAAACGCACCACGTTTGATGGTGTCTAAAATACATATTTTATAGTACTGGACGCAAAAAGAAACAATTTAATCATTACCAATCCTATTATCCTTCAAAGATAGCAAGCGAAGAAAATGAGGACCGTTCAGTGACATACTCGGGATGAAACTGAAACTATTTCTGTCCAAATACAGTTTCTACAAAAATTACAGTTATTGAAGATTGAAAGTTGTTTTTAAGTACTATTTCTTACCTTTAAATTGTCGCACCCCTCCAAAGTCCCTTCCTCGATAGCTTTTATCCCGTTCCCACTCAGATCCAGCAGCTGCAGGTGAGTCAAACCCCGAAACTCAGTGGTGGAGAATATAGGATTTAAGTTGTCCCCTAGAAGATTATCTGCGAGTCGCAGTTCGACCAAAGTGGATTGCAAGCCGAACAACATCCTTTCCGTCAGCCTCCTCAACAGATTTCCCGAGAGGTCTATGCTCCTCAGGGGAAGATCCGTCGATGAGAATACCTGTGGGATATAATAAAATAAGTTTAGAGGAAATTGCTTCTATTGATGTTCGAATTATGCACCTGGGTGGGTAAAGATTGGTGTCCGGCCCATCTCTGGCTGAAAGATACTATGGGCGCCCCATACGGTAAAGAGGGGAGTTCGCTTGAGAAAACCACCCTGTCGCAGTTGATAGCTATGGAGGGGTTGCCTTCTAGGGCTTGCTCGATAGGGCCAAGGGCGCACGTGCAGGGGAACCACAGGTCTCTGGAGATTTCGAAGCACGGCTTAAAGTCTTCGAATGTTGATATGGAGGTTGAGAGGGATAATAATGTTACTATTTTCAAAAACCAGTCCATCTGAAATAGAAATTTATAACATTTAATAAATCAGTCAATATACAAGGTGTTACTAATTAAAATTTAAAAAATGATTTTTATTGATAACTCCAGTGATTGTAGAGATGTGTATCTGAAATTTAGCAGTTATTTTGATTTTAAGTCGGCACACTTTTTGTGTAATTTTGATTTAAAATGTTAAAATTATTTTATCTATCCGTCACTAAAGCATAAATCTAATCGCTTGTTTAATAGTAATTAATAATAAAGAAATAGAAGCAAAAAAAATCTATTGTTGCTTAGGTACTTCTTTAATCCGGAGGCAATTAGTTAGCGTAATTTTAAAGGATACAAAATACGGGACAAAAATGTTTCGATTTTATTAAAAAATTTATTATGCAAATGTTATTTTTGATGAGTTAAAAACTTGATTAAAATTTGGGCATTTATTTTTGGGCCACCTGTGTGTAGATGGAAACTGTAAGGAATATAGTAATTTTAGTTAGTTGAAAAATGGATTTTGTCTGTGTTCATTTTATTTGAGAGGCAACTCAGACAATGTGTTTGACGAAGTGCGAATTTTGTTCTAGATTTCAGCAGATAGGTAGGTAGGTACTTAATATTTTCCAGTTGGTCAGTTGGCCACGAACTTAAAATCATTTGTAACAGAAAGATACGCATCAAAGATAATTTCTTTCTTCCTATTGATGACTTATGGATATAAACCATATGTTAAATATAAATATTATACAATGATGTATGTATGTTCACGTTAATCTACCAAATGTTCTGCAAATGTAGGTGTCTACATTGTCAGTGTCATCGAATATTTAAATAAAGAATCATTGAAACCAGAAGTAAGATTGTTAAATATAAGGTGTAATTAAAATAGTTTAGACCAAAGTTAGCAACGAATTTTATATTACAAATCAATGAAAAAGGTTTCTATAAACATCTGTTCGGAAACGTTTCGGTTTTGAAAAATGAGGTGTAAAAAAATAACAAACGTGTTTTAATTTAGTACGCGCTTTAGTTTTTGATAGGTACGGTCTTTTTGACATAATAGGTAGCTATAAAGTCGTAATTTTGGGCGGAGATTTAGTAATGTCATTTCTTTCAAGATATTCCAAATTGAAGTTATCAGAATGATATACATATCACTTTATCACTACAACGCAACGTCCGTTAGGATGCAACGTTCCAGAGGTAAATCTCATATCTATTAGGTATATATAGACCAGGAAATTTAGCCTGAAAATGACCATTTCGGGGATAATGCTCATAAGTGCCTGATTTTTTGTGAGAAGGTAGAAAAAGTGGTATATAACAACATATCTTTACACGTAAAAAATCAAAAAATACCATTTTTGTTTATAAGCCATAGAAACTGTGATTTTAGTGAAATTTCACGTATTTAGTATCAAATCGCACATAAGTATTAAAATATAGTAAATATTTCATTTTGCAACTAAGCAAATTTACAAAATAAATTCCCTAGGTCGCAAAAATGATTTTTTTTTTGAAAAATAACAATGCGATCCGATAGCTTATAGTGAAATATACCAATAAAAAAATTTAGCGCGAATACGGGTGACCCTCAAACATGTGGGGATTGATTATTAGTTAATTTGTTTATTAGGCCACAACTCGCAAAATATTCAACTTACGGTTTCCAGCTTTCGCACAGATTATTCGTCAGTAAAAATGAATAGTTGGAGATAAGCAATACACATCACTGTTATTAATAAGCTTTTTATTAATGTTTATTTAAATTGCAAAAAAATAATGCTATTTATTAATAATTTTTGACTGGATCAATATTTTTTTCGTACGTGGGTTCGTTTTGTTCGTATTGAAAAGACAAACAAAAAAGAATTTTACTTTTTTGCAGTAAAATCGTCCGGACAAAAGTTATAAGCTAAAAACGTGAAATTTCACTAAAATCACAGTTTCTATGGCTTATAAACAAAAATGGTATTTTTATATTTTTTACGGGTAAAGATATGTTGTTATATACCACTTTTTCTACCTTCTCACAAAAAATCAAGCACTTATGAGCATTATACCCACATACCTCTAGTTTTCCTGGTCTAATAAGAAATGATTGCTAAAAGTTTCATGATATGCAGTTATTTTTAAAGTAATGGTAATTCAAATAATCACGTTATCCATGAGTGAATTAAAGTTATATTTTCTTAATAAAATTATAGATATCGATAAGCATCAGCAGCATATTTGGCTTATTTACAAAATGTGAAATAAAAATTTCATAATTTTCTGTTGGTTTGTTGCTTAGAAACTGCTTATTTATTTTTCATTATCCTGTACCCACTGTTTGTTGCAATTCAAAGTAGGCTGCTGTCAAAGTTAGTAATCATTAACAAAGTTCATGCAGTAGGTGTTACGTTTTTATTATATTGCTTGTTTCAAAGTCTTAAAAAACCTTGCACTAAATATCTATAAGTATAAATCATAAATAAATAAATTCGTACAACAGTAACACAGACCACATTAACAATCCCATCCGTAGGAGATGATTACAAAGAAAAAAATAATCAACTATCCTTTGTTACATATCTGACATCAACCTACTTTACTCACAATCACTGTTTCCAAGCCTGTTGAGTTTATGAAAATTTACTAGGTAGTAGATATTTGTACATACATACCTGTATGATTCTTTTGCTTTAAAACCATAGGAATTATTCCTATGACAGAGCGACAGAGATAGTAATCTGATAATCTGGAGTGATTTTCATAAATATCTAATATGAATGAAACAATAGGTACCTATGCAAATTTGCAGTTTTTTAAACAACGAAAATTATGAAATGTAACTTTCAATTTGAAACAGGAAATTTTTGTTTCATACTTTGTAGTGAATTTTGTTTATTACTACAAACTTTAACAGCAGCCTACTTTATACTAAATTGAAATACTGTTTATTTGCATTTCATTTACTGTTTTCATAATGAACTACATATTAGAAACAAGTAGGTATGCTTTTTTTTTTCATTTTTAACAAAATTAATGTTTTATTTGTAGTTATAGGCATATGAGTAACTCAATAAGTTACTCGTATGGTTATAGGTACCTATTAAGTTTTAATATACTATCATTCTATTTTTCAGACTTTAAATGTTGTAACTATAAAAAATTTAAATTTTGAAAAAAATAAGAAATCTATCAGTTTACTACGGAAAAAATGCAAATATAGGTACCTACGGGCAGCCCTTTTTGAGATTCTAGGTCCGACCTCTAATTGAATCTATCACAACATTTTTTCTCATAAAATAAAAGTTCTTTTTGTGAAGGAATAAATCTTTGAATCTCTAAATTGATTTGAAGCAGAATGTTTACGCAACAATGAAAAGCCTCTTCAAATTGTTATCAGTTTCTCCTAAATATTTAGCCTGGTTACTACCCTAAAAAACTACACATAAAATGCAGTTTTTCCGATAATGACAAAAAAATTTTTAAACGATCTCGTTTGATCTCTTTACACCAAGTGTGTCACGAGAGCCCTACGGGCGGACAAAATCCGTCTATTCATATCTCGCAGCCTAGTTTTTCAGATTATCGCCGCTTATTAGTGCAATTATTTACAAGCCACCTTAGACGAGGCGAGAAAGGATGCACGGCATCACACTAACTCGCCGGAGATATCGAGATCCGACGAAATTCGCCGGCGATAACGGTTAAAATATCGGCGATCGCTTATTTGGGAATGAATGGTATATGTCAAGGCAATTACTTTCGGCCTACATTTCCAACGAAAACGATACCGCCGTTGCTCGCCGTAACCCACGCCGTCTACTTTGCACTTGTCGGACTGGACGGCTGTGTTTGAATACTTAGGCGGTGTTGCCAAATATTAGCTTTGTCATGTAGACATGACAGAAAAAAAGTGCCAACCTTGCTACAGCAAGGAAAGGGGTTGTTTAATCCGTAATTAAATTTTTTGGCGGAAAATATATACGGAATATATAATTGAACACAAGTGTAATGTCTTTTTGGTAATTACCTAAATTTACAAAAATTAATAATATAAATTAATACCAAATTTTCGGTCGCAACTGCTGGGCGCAGGAGAGGTGCGATCGGGGTGATGTTGGTGTTGTGTAGGTTTGACCTTTCTACGTCCAATAAAGTGGTCCAGGCATAGCACGATTAATGAGATGGCAAAAAAAAGAGGGTGGAAAATGTTGAACCTCTATACATTTTGGCGTAGCGTTTGGCGTAGCGTTTTTGACGGTTTTCAGAGTAGTTTTGTGTTAAATGACAACAGAGGTGTCAGAAACCATGTTACCAAATTCGTTGGTATAGGTACAGTAAAAATATACCATTGGGTCTAACATAGATCCATGAGGAACCTCCATCCAAAACTTCAGAATTTAGTTTCTACGAAACTAGGTACTTATTTACTGAAATTAGATCTTTATACAGTACCTATTTACCTATTTATTTTGTAAAAATCACACAAGAGCTTTCTTAACAAATTATGTGAATTTGGCGACACAGAAATGTTGAGATAATGCTAACCTTAACCCGCAATATTCAAACAATTGTTAGGTAATTTTTCTTAAATATTGCGAGAAAACACTTGACCTACTAAGTATAACAAATGTTGCTTTTAATTTTACAAATTGGTTACGCTCGTTCTACACATTGACATAATATAACTGAAATTGTAATTATACATACAGGGTGTCCCTGAAAATGATGGACAACGCTTGAACACAGGTTCTTGGATGAAAACAAGACTATTTAGCCTAACTTACCTACATATATACAAAAGTGCACGCCTACTGAGATATAGCCTTCTAAATATAGAACAGATAAACTAGTTTTTTTCAAATAATTTGAAAACTGTTTTTCTTAGAAACTTCAAATTTGGTACACATATTTTTTTATATAAGGGCAATGTAAATATAGAATTTGGTGAGAATGCATATACAGGATGGTCTCTTTCTAGTGCCTCTGCGCCACTGGCTATCCCGTGACTTTTTTGTATGTACCCC